ATCAACTCAGGTCCTTGCACTTGTGAGGCAGGCGGCAGTGGAAGGAATTATTTTTCAAAAGGCAAATTTTAAAATCAAGGCTTTTTTTGCCTGTGCACAATATTGGCAAATATTAAAAAGATGGTCCTAGCATGCCTGGAGGAAAACAGATACAATTATCCATCCGTCTAACCTTTCAGGGCCAATGGACAGAATGTTATATGACCTAGAACCTTTGGACAGGAGCCCTTCAAACACATGCACTGCCTGTGCCGTCTCACAGAGAAAGCCAAACCCATATCCATCAAGAAGGAGCTGTATAGGAATGGGGATTTGGCTCAGTGGCACCGCACCCGTTTTGCAAGTACAAGGTCCTGAGTTCAATCCCCGTACCAAAGAGGGGGCCCTGTGCAGATAAATAAACATGCCCAATCCAGCCACTGGGCACTACCCTCTACTATACCTTGTTCAACAACAAGGCAAGCTCCAGAATCGTAAGAAAATGTTACTTAATTTTTTTTTGTTTTTTTTTTTTTAAGACAGAGTCTTGCTATGTAGTTCAAGCTGGCCTTGAACTCATTATGTAGCCCAGTCTGACCTCAAAATTACAGCGATGCTCCTGAGTGCTCAGCCTCCTGAGTGCTGGGATTACAGGCATGTGCCACCATCCTGGCAGTATCTACATATTAACAGGAAAAAAAAAATCTGCACATATAGGAACATATCCAAACCATTATGGGAATCACTTGGGTGGGGAACACTAAGATGATTAGGGACTTTGACATTTTATACTCTTCTGAATCAAATTTTTTAAAACTACATGTTAATTTTACAATCAGGAAAAATATGTAAAGGTAGAAAAAGGATAAGCAAGCAGTGGGTTCTGCCTAAACTCCAACAAGCTCGCTGGGCATGTGGGACTGGTGGGATACAGGCTTGTAGCCTCAAAAAGGGTGAAGCTAATGTGCTCAGGGCCTTGGGAAGCTTTGAGTCCTAGGCTAAGCCAAGTGTGCCTGGGTCTCCACCTCTGTCCTTGGTTTTGGGTCTATAAAGTGCACTAGCCTGCCTGTCAGGGCTGCTATAAGCAACAGTGAGGGCATTCATCGGAATCCCAGAAATAAAAAACTGTTGTTTTGTTTTTTTTGAGCAGCAGTGAGAAAACCCCAAATCTGGGCAGTCCAGGAATAGCCTGTCCACTGCCCCGGGCCATAGGTGTGAATGCCCCAGGCACTGAAACACGGTCCCCTGAAGTCATGATGTCCAAGTTAGTAGATTCTGTGTGTGCTGAGGAAAGATGATTTGCTTCGAAGAGATAAGAACAAAATACTCTCCTAGAAAGGGTAGTAAGTACCCTTAGAAAAAGACAAGAAAGGCTGTTTTAATTGTACATGAAGCTGCTGAACACAGAGAAGTTTCCAGTAGGTTTTCCAGGGGGTCACTGGGACCGTGAGTCCTGTCCTGAAGAAGTCAGAGAGACCACCCAACCTGTGCCCTGCCTCCCCACCCTGGGCCAGCACGGTGTCACCTCCAGGGCCTCCATGGCCAGCTCGGGTGGATTGTGGTAGTGGATCTTCTTGGGGTACCGGGCAGCTTCCTCATGCAGATAGTGACCGGCCTGCCTATAGTGCAGCAAGTAGACAGCCGGTGGCTGCTGCTGCTTCTCAGCCACCTTGCCCAGCATGTAGTGGATAAGCCACTCCTCCTCATCACCATCACCCTCACAGTGGGCTGCTGATGTGAAACAGTGCCTTGCTGTCTCCAGCATGCTGTCACGCCGACCCTCCATCTGCAACAAAATCATCAGCCTTAGGTGCAAGTCATGAAACTTCCCAGAGATCATAGTTTCTCCTGTAAAAAGACAGATGACTTATTCACAGATTTTGTTCCTCTCATCAACCCTGAGACCCAGAACTGTTGTCACCATCTCACAGCTGCCCTAGGGAGATTCAAAATTTTTCATATACCAAGTAAGACACACAGCTAGATTTAAACTCAGGATTTAGCTCAGTGGCACCGTGCCTGACTCGCAAACACAAGGTCCTGAGTTCAATCCCGGTACCCCTCAATAAAAGAAAAAAAAACACACACACAAACAAACCTCAGGTCACCTCTTGTCAACCCCGGGGAACTTTTTCCTACCTTCCCCCTACAGCACCCAAGATTTTATGAGCTTATGAAAATGCTTGCCTGCAAAGGAGAAAGAGCACAGAGCTGGTGCTGACACTTTCTAACTCTGCTTAGCTAACGGTGACACAGCAATGGGCTCTCTGCCTGCAACAGAGGCTTGTCCCAGAATTCCATGTAGGTTGCCTGACATTCTCAGACTGTCATGGAAGGGCTGCCATTGGTCTGCAGTTCCGGCCCTGTGCTCCTTCCACTTTGTAGGCACAAGTCCTTACTGCAGCCACAAGGGTCATAGTTAGAAGTCTTAGAGAGGAGTCAATATGCTCACTTTCTTTCTTTCCACATCTTTTATTAGTACATGCTGGTGATACAGATTAATGGGTTTCATTTTGGCCAATTTGTACACGTACATAACATACTTTGATCATTGTCATACCCTCCAACCCAATATGTACTCTATAAACTCACAATGAGAAGAGCCTGGAGACCTGGGGGCTCAGAGCAGCTGCTTCTGCGGCCCCATACAGACAGTCTTTGCTCTAGCCCCTACCCTGGAAGCTCTGGAATGAAGGAATGTGTGTGCTTGACAGCTGCCAGGAACTCTATAGAGAAGAGGCTGCCCAAGTTGGAAAGCCTCTGAGAAGCTGGCCCTCTATCCTGGCTGCTCCCATGCTTTGAGTGTGAGAGGATGCCTGGAGATACTTGCTATAAATGCAGACTCTAAGTCAGTGGGGCTTGGCTAGGCCTCAGGAGCCTGACCTTTACAAGTGCTCTGTGTCCTTAAAGCGTGCCGAGAAGAGGGTAAGAAATTCCGTTTTACCCTAAATGTGGACATTCTAGTATGCACTACACTCTAGTGCAGTAGGGTTGAGTGCTGGGTAAACACCTTCTCTGGTGGTATGGAAATGGGTGCTGGGAAGTAGGTACACACCCCCTCTAAGTGCTGTGGAGCTGGGTGCTGGGAATGGCTGAGCTAGACAACCCTACTGAATTCTCACAATACTGCTTGGAAGAAGGAATGTTCAGCCTCATTTTGCAGCATACAGTAGTTCAAGTAGTGGCAAACACATGTCCTAAAGCCCATCCTGATCAGTTCAGACACAACTCTGGCAGCCAGGGGACTAGGTCCCTGTGACACACTTCAGGGCTGGACGCAGCCTCTCCAGGGAACCCAGGGAGTTATGGGGCAACCTTGTCAAGGCAATATGTATACTGGCAAATTACTGCAAAACTTGAGGCCCATTGCCGGGGATTTGGCTCAGTGGTTCTGCTGCCTGCCTTGCAAGTGCAAGGGTTGTAATTCGATCCCTGGCACCAAAAACAAAAAACAAAACAACAACAACAAAAGACTTAAGGCCCAGTTCTGTATCTCACCAGCAGGCCCTTCAGCACCCTGATCTCCTGGGCGACCTTTCTGGGTTGTATGCCTTACTGCTATGCTAGCCCAAATATGTCAGTATGTGGGCCAGGCATGTAGCTTAGTGGTACAGTGTATGCTTACCATCTCCAAGGCTCTCGATGTGATCCCTAGCACTACTAAAAACCCCCAAAGTATGGCTGATTTTCATCCTAAGGAGCCAAAAGTGCTCTACTAAACACCAACATCAGGCCAGTCTGAGCACCCAACCCAGACTTTGAAATTCCCAGCTCAAGGTGAAGCATTTTACAAGGACCCATACACTTCTTTTGAGAAAATAAGAAAGAGACACCTACTTCAGGTCGCCAACATTCCTCCCTACTATTCAACTACTGTAAATCTGATGACTGAGCCAACCAGGACACAACAGCCTGATCCTAAATTTGCCTGCACTGGACTGGATGTTCAGAAATGAAGGGCCAAGTGGTCACTGACCATGTTACAGCTCGAGCCTCCTAGGGAGAATAACCCATGAGCACCCAGCACTGACATAACAAAGAACAGATGTGACAGAACCTCACAGACCTGAGGGTATTCCAGCTGGACAGAGTGACAGACCGACCCTGCCACACACCCTTCCTCACCTGCTGCACAAGCTCAGGAGGCAGCTCGGCTCTCCACTGCTTCAACTGTCGTGAAGCAAAAGAGTGTAAGGCATAGGACATGGTGCCGTATTCAATCCAAAGGGACAGGTTAGAGCTGTCGATTTCCAGGGCTCGTCGGAAGCAGTTCAGGACAGGCGTGGCATGTTTCCATATGGGTCCATCACTCTTCAGTTCGTTGGAGTTCAGCTTGTCTTGAATGCGGCTAGCTCGGGCCAAAGCCATGCCTGCCCAGGAGTCAAACCTGGGGCAGAGACAAAAGAAATAGCTACACACACCACTACCCTGACAGCACAACACACACAGCAGTCCGGAAGGCAATCGGACAAATGCTACCGAAGCTCTGCTCCTACGACAGGGCTCAGAACCAGCTCAGCCGCTAGACCAGGCCATGACTGTAATGTGGACCAGCCACGGTCCCCACACCATGATGTATATCTAAGAAGATCTGCCTCAAGAGAGAGCTGTGGGGTGCTGCTGTGGTTTAGATGTTGAATGTCCCCCAAAAAGGTTCAGAGGATGGGATTTTAGGAGGTGACTGGATCATGAGGGTGCTACACAGTCATCAGCGGATAGAGGCATGATCTGGACAGGCGTCTTCCTCTCTTCACTCTCTGCTTCCAGGCCACCATGACACGAGCAGCTTTCCTCTCCCAGACCCTTCTACCATGCCCTTCCCGCCCTGGAGCCAGATGACCACAGATGAATCCTCTAAAAGCCATGGGTCAAAATAAACTCGAGGGCCGGGGATTTAGCTCAGTGGTTCTGCCACCTGCCTTGCAAGCGCAAGGACCCAAGTTCCCTGGTACCAAAAATAAATAAATAAAAATAAATCTCGAGGCTGTGTCAGGCATTGTTTCCAGTGACAGAAAGTGACTAAGCAAGGTGCTAAGAGACAAAATATTCCTCAGCACCTCACAGCCTGTCAATGGCTGCTCTATCTGAAGGGTTCTTAGGCTCTGCTCCCCTACACAGGGGAGTTACACAGAACAGCTGTGGTGGAAAGGAATAGGGCACTCTGCCAACCATCACGATGGGGATCCAGTCGAGGTGACTCAGAGACTCAGCGAGTGTCACTCTCCTTCCTCCTGTGCAAGTGCAGGAAAACTCTAAGCAAGAGCACGGGCAGTCAAGAGCCCCAGGGCCCAGCCACCCAGCTTTCCCTCTGGGACTCTGAGGAGACTCTGACCTTTCCAATTCAGTTCCCAGCAGTAAAACAAAGAGCAAGGTGACCAAGATGACCAAAGATGGCTGAGCCCCTACCATTCTGCACATCACTTGAAAGAAACTGATGGTGAGAACACAGAAATCTCTGAGAGGGTGAATGGTCACAGATATGTCAAGACCAAGATGGTTTCTGGGTTCCAGAAATTTCTGCCTGCTACTACAGAGAAGAGGAAAAGCAGCAATCAAAAGGACAGGTGCTACCCTCCCATGTGTCAACAATTCTTAGTCTGTCACAGTGAAAGTTATACACCATGACTGTAAAACTGACTAACTGGCTTTCTGAACGAGTTGCATTTCCAACAGGTGGTACAGGCGGAACCTTGTGAAGCTCAGCCTTCACTGCACCCCAGCAGGACTAACACTATGTGAACGAAGGAGCAGGAAAGATATTGAGAGCTCAAAAGTAAGAGGAAGATGGCAAAGACAAAGGCTTCCTCCTACGTGAGAGACTGAGAGTGGTCCTCCTCCTCTGAGGCTACTGAATTCTCCCTGACTCCACTCATGTTACCCTGGAAAGAGGACACAGGAGTAGGTGGCAAACTTCCCTGCACCAGGGCCACATTCCCAGCAGGGCACTCCTTTCTATTTTTAGCATGTCTTCAGCAACTCTGCCCTCACCTTAAGGAAAGGGGCAACATTATGAAAGTGCCCCCTCTGGCTGCATGAGAACCAACTGGAACTACCATCTCCTGCCACAAAAACAAAGTAATCAAACACAGAAGCCTGCCATCCTGCCTACATCTGTCTCCTGGTACTCACAGAGCAGTACACAGCTCATACTCTAGGAGTGCTGACCTACAGGGATGCTGATGGGCCAAAGGGCAGGAAACAATGGCAGTTCAGGAGGAGGAAGTATCTAGAGGCCATGCACTAGGCTCTGACTTGTGCAAGGCAAGACCAGTTTTGGAACTAGGCCTAAAGTTGTTTCCTTGGCAGTGGAGATGAGCTACACTAGGTCCTTCCCTCATTTTCTCCATCCCCAAATATTCGGTGAAATGCTTGGGCAATTTGGGTCACTTTCAGTTTAGCAAAAGCAGAAGGAATGGTCAATGCAAGGGAAATTAAATACTGTCACCAGCATGCCCACTAACTCTTCTTCCAACACCATAATCAGGTGACCACTGTTCACCCAGATGCCTATCTGGGTTTACCCCTACCCAACAGACTCAGAAGACTTCAAGAAAGAAAAGTACCCAATCTTCCATTTTAACTGGCCCAGAAGACTAGAAGGAGCCCAGAGTGTCCACTGGCATCTGCCTAAGTGGGACAGGATGAAGAAGAGGGGAAGAATGAAGGAGGCTAAGGAGCCTGGCATGGCAGCACAGGCCTGCCTGTAATCCAGCACTCTGGGAGTCTGAAACAGGAGGACCACAAGTTGAGCCCCACCTGGATAACTTAGCAACTTAGTGAGACTTTATCCCCAAATAAAAAATTTACAAAGGCCTACTGACATAGCTCAGTGCAAAGATTCTGGGTTCAATCCTCACACCAGTACTGCAAGAAAGAAAAAGCGAGGCCAAGGCCTGGGGCTTAGGACCAAGCAGCAAGTCCTTTCCTCACCTTAAAGCCAGTCCTCATTAAAAACAAAATACAAAAACCCTTCTGTAGCAGGGCTGCTCGAGTGCCTGTGCCTGACGGGTTGCTACCCTCTGAACAGGTGGTACGCGTGTTGGAGGGAGACCTAGTTGAGCTTCACGGTCATCACTCCACCGACTAAGGAGCTTTCAGGTGAAGAGGGGCCACAGCAGGTGCTCACCACCCTGCAAAAGATGGGTTTTATCACCCTCACTCTATAGACAGGGAAGCACCTCCATAGATAGGGTGCAGAAAAGGGGACGCCCTAAGTGTCAGAGAGCACTCAGCCAGCCTGAGTGCAGGTCTGCATCACCACACTGGTGTACAGCAATCCCAGAAAGGAGGGCAGAGATCCAAGCAAATGGCTCCCTGTCTGGAGGAAGCTATGAGCTGAGCAAAATGGGGCCTGTGATCTTCCTCACAAGCTACAGAAGTCTTACAAACTGGCTTCTCCATGCAGATTCCAGCCCCTTGAACCCTTGGCCAGGGGGTATCCTGACAAGGTAAACTGCACAGTTTCTCCCTGAGTGAGGGGTAACTATGAAATGACCTGTGGCTCAAGGGCAGCCACCAGGGTTAGCCCGAGTACTTCCCAAGGATGTCTATAGCTTCTGTACCTTCAGATGCAGGTCAGCCACAGAGAGTGGACTCATTTTGACCTTGACCCAAGGATTACCTCTTAGGTAAGCCTTAAGAACACATTCCTTTATTTTTATTTTCTTCAGTTCTAGGAACTGACCCAGGGCTTCATGCATGTAAAGCATGTACTCTACCACAAGTTATACCCCCAGTCCTGGACACTGCCTTGTAGTAAATTATATTAGACTTCACTCGTGCAGCAGAGCCCCTCAGGATAGATGCTCGGGGCAATCATTACACTTTAAAAGAACAGTGAGCACAGCTCCATGGGAAGAGAGTACGAGTCACACACAGGGCTTCTCCTACATCTACGGGATGATCAAAATGTACAGTGAATACTTACATTTTTAAAATGATGGTAAAAGACACATTGCCATAATTCCCCTCAAAATACTCCCCTAACTTTAAACACACTAGTGCTCATGCCACTGTTTCAGGCAGCTCTGCAAGTCCTCTTTGCTGACTTTATAAGGTGTGACTTAAAAAAAAAATATGAATGCTGCTGCCAACTGCCATCCAATGGAAAAGCAGGGTCACAAAAACATTACAGTGTGTGCTCCTCTGCTTCATTCACCAGATCTGGCTCGCCCATGAATATGAATGTGAAAGGTAAATACTTTAAATCGATTCAGGACATCGAGGCAGCTATAACAGCACATCTAAAGACACTCACAAAAGAGGACTTCCAGAACTGCTTCACAAAGTGGCAAGAACAGTGGAGAAAATGTGTTCAAGGCCAGGGGAGAACTCTGAGGGAAAATTGATGGCAATGTGCCTTTCGCTATAATAGTTTTTAAATTTAAACATTTACTGTATTCTTTGATCACTTCTTAGACAATCACGGCAAACACTGCTGCCCAATGATGCACTAGGTTACAGAAAGGAAAGAGAACTGCTGAATTGAATTTTTCTATAACTACCCTCCAACCCCTCAAAAGCAAATATAATGGAAAAGTCCGCAGTGGAAGCATCAACGTATACCTCAGCCAACTTCCTGGGGCTCCCCGCACAAACCAACAGAGTCAGGCCAGACAGCACTGCCTTGCCCCAGACACTAGGGCCCAGAGAGAGACTTCAGACCTTCTCCAACCCCAGTGTCTCTCCCTGGGGTCTTTCCCTTTACTCTTCTTTTGTATGGAGACTCTGGCTTTTTAATAACTGCAGAGTGCTAAGCCACCTTTTCATTTCTTTTCCTTAGGCTTGCTACTGGCAGCAAAACTCCTAACTGGCATAGTGAAATGGTGGCTAAGCTAGAATTACCCCAGCTTTGTTGACAGCCAGCCTGGCTCCACTCCCACATCACCCACCTGTTGGGGCAGATGCAGATGTCATGCATATAGAACTTGATGGCCTTGGACTGCTCCTTGTTTTTGAAATGATAGTCAGCCAGGAGGTAGTAGAGTTCATTTACCACAGGAGGGGAAGAGTCAGCCCCTTCCGGGAGGCAGGGCACCTGGCAAGTGAGACGGTAAATATTAGCAGCAGAGTCAAGAACTCAAGTGTGACCTAAGAGTCCTGTAAACCCAGGACGGTTTGGTCACATCAACACATGACAGATGCTGGGCTTCTCCTGGTCCCAGCATCTGATGCAGAAAAGGAACAAAGCCAGAGCATATATGCAGCCACACTGGTGAGGAAGGGGTTACTCAGCCCCACCACGCCCACCTCAGTTGAGGTCCCCTCAATGTAGGCGGAGACTTTGTCCAGGCTCAGTACTGGCCTCTCTGTGCGGGGGACTATGGTGGCAATTCTCTTCAGAAGGTTGGCCAAATCAGCAGATACCGTGCTGGTCTTGTAGCTGTCAAATTCAGGAAGGGTCTTGGGCTTGAAGTACTCAAACATAAATAGGGCATCTTCCCATATAAGCTCCACCTTGAAAAAAGAAGACAGATTCATAGTACATTCAGGATAAAGACAAAAAAGTTTCAGGGCAACCCACTTTCTGGTCCCCCTTTCATCTTAGACAGAAGCTATCTTTCTCTCAAAAAAATTTTCCTCTGTTGTTCCTAGAATTCATTCCTCAATTTTAGAGAGCACAAACTCGTTTTGGACTGGATGGAGGTAAGGGTTTTCTTTCATACGTTAAAGTGTGGCTTTCTCCCCAGCCTGCCCTTCCATGTTAGTGTGCTCAGGCTTAGATTTTTTTCATGCTCTAATTTCTTGAAAGTTTTGTTTATTCTTGCCTAGAGTCTGCCAAACTCCAAGCGGTCATACAAATGGAACCAACGACAAATGTGCTAGACTTCTTTTACTGGGATCCACCAGATCGACCTTGTAAACAGCTTATGATCTATCAACTATACAATATGACTCCTATGTTGGATTCTGAAGTCCCCTGGACCTTCTTCTCTGTGGGAGGCTGTTACTAGCTCCCCCCAATAAAAACCCTTGTTGGCTATATTCACAGCACTCCTGCTGATCTTAGTATTTGGTCCACGTATTTTTAACTGTTTCTTTAATTTTGTCTCCTGCAGAGTTATAGCTATAGCCAGTCTTAAAGCTATAAGGCTACCCAAGATGACACTGGCTGGTACCTGTCAAGGGCCTTTAGATGGACCCCTATACAGTACAACTATGACCCTCTTCAGCTTCAAGTAGCCAGAGCTGTCTTCGCCCTCTGCCCCCTCACAGCAGTTAGGGGGACGTCTTCAGAGGGGGGAATATTGCAGATAGGTAAGTTAATGATATATCTTGTTAGGCAGCCAGACAGAGCCAGCCCAGGAGGAGCCACAGTCAAGGAGCCAACAAGGAAGACAATCAAGACACATTCACTGAAGGCCAGAATTTTTCAAGTAGAGAAATTACTACACCCTTGTGCTTCCCCTGGGGATAAATAGCAGCGATTGATATTCTAAATGGGCTTCAATCACCTGGGTGGGGGGCCAAGGTCTTAACCCAGCCTTTCCAGGAAATATCCCTGACCCCCACCCTTGTTGAAAATCCTTATATGCCTGCTACTAGTAATCTCATTGTATTGTTTTGCCCCACCTCAGGCCCACCCTGTAATTTCCCACTGGGTCTTATGGTTTTGTCCAACTTTGTACCCGCCTCACCACTTTGCTTGGCTGTATAAAGTATCTCTGAAAAGTGGGGTGGGTGGGCAGCCCACTCTCCAGTCCCCCTTCTGTCTGTCTCACACACTACCTATCTTTCTCTCAATAAATTTTTCCTACTCTTAAGAAAAAAAAAATTCCTCTATAGAAATGCACTATATCTGATATAAATAGGTCACCATATATGGTACTAGTCTGAAATGAGTCCTTTTTACACTTCTTATAATCTGCATGCCCAGTATCATTCTCAAAAGTGTCTGAAAAGCATAAACCATTTATCTATTAAAGATAAATGGCGGAAGCAGAGGGCTGCGCTCCGAGATCATATGGCTAAACTAGAGGATGAATTCAGCTGGTGGCGCACGCCTGTGATCCTAGCATTCGGGAGGCTGAGACAGAGGATCTCCATGAATTCGAAGGCAGCCTGGGCTACATAATGAAACTTTTTCTCAAAAAATAAAGTAAAAGTAAAATAAGAGGGTATGTTCAATTATGAATGGGGAGCTGGGGCCAGCCACTAGCCTTCTCAATGCCTCAGCTGCCCTCAGTGCCATCCCATACCCACCCCCCTCCACCAGGGATCAAACTCATGACCTTGTATTTGCAAGGCAGGCACAGCGCCACAGAGCTAAATCCCCAGCTCTACCCCTCAGTTTTGTTTTGTTTTTTGTTTTTTGGGACAGGGTCTCACTATGTAGTTGAGACTGACCTGGAACTCACTATGTAGCCCAGGCTGGTCTGAAACTCACAGCGATCCTCCTGCCCCAGCTTTCCAAGTGCTGGGAATACAGGTGTGGGCCACCACACCCGACTCCCCAGTTTTTGACTGACGAAAATTGTGTGGTGATATTGGGCCAAGGCAACTCTAGTGGCAGTAGCCACAGTGGAGATTCCTTCCATTTTAGCAGCTAAATCCCTAAGTTCAGAAAATAACTGACACTACTGAGGAGCAGTGCTCCAAAAACCAAAAAAGAGAAGCCTCTAAGGGATTATTCTTTTTCCAAATTACAAATAAACCTATGGACAATTCTCATACATTTTTTATCGTTATTCATAAAGCTATCTTTTTGCAAGGAAAACTCCTGTCCTTTAATCAGACATCTGACCTCTTTTTGCCTGCTCCCACTGTAACTCGTACTGGGACAGTGGACTGAGTGTGACAAACATGACTTACTTCCACAGAGCTCCCATCTTCCCAGGAGCCCACTCTTCCTTAGACTTGGCCCTCCCTAGGCCAGTGGCAGCACCCTCACCTGCTGAGCTGAGTGCTCCTCCAGGTACCTGGCCTTGCTCTTCTTGCTGGGAAAGCTGTACAAGCAGTAAAAGCACTGCTCCAAGGCTGTCTCCAGCTCCTCCTTATAGGGGTGTGTGTCTTCAGAGGTGGATGCGGTAAGTTCCTTCTGGAGAACTCGCACCTGTGGTGGGCAGAGAGAGATACTGAAATAGGGGACCAGGAGACCACGACACTGTCACCTCTTTTAACCTGAGCAGGCAATATTTATTGGGCTCCTGCCTGACTTGATTGCAAAAGACCTTTTTCCTAGAAAAGATGATAGGGACAGAGGACAAACAAACTACTAGGTCCTTAACCTGTTACTCATTTACAAGACCTTTTTTTTTTTTTTTTTTTTTTTTT